CCCTAAGTACTACAACTGGACCTCTTTTGATGAGAGTAATTCACTCCTAAAGGTAATTTGAGTGATATCACTAAGCCATCTCAGTGTTTTACTAATACATGCACATCAACACAATGTAAAAAAATCAATATCAAAAAAGGGATCTCAATTTTCATCTCGGTCCATAGTTGAAAATAGTTGAGTTTCTAAGCTATCTCATTGTTTTACTAATACATGCACATCAACACAATGTAAAAAAAAACAATATTGAAAAGGGGATCTCAAAACCTAACCTGTGATTTTGGGAAAAGATGAACCGAGATGAAAATTGAACTCCAACTTGTTCTTAATCAGTGATGAAAGCTTCATCCGCCTCGTGCCAATACCGATGTATACTATTGAAGATAACAATATCACTTAGGGTTAATCCCAGAAAATAAGCTCAGAGAAAACAAGAGAGGAAGCAAAAGAAAATACCAGAGGAAGGAGGAAGCCGGAAGGAGGAAGGAGGAGGGAGGAAGGATTCGCCGGCGAACGCGCCGGAGAGAACACGACGGAGGCGCACACGGGAATTGGAGCATCGATACACACGAGGCAAAATAGGGATATGTCGATTTAGGGATTTTGTCCCCTTTCTGCTTAAGTTAAATATATTTATCCCCATCTTTAACTAATATTTGTACTTTTACCTTTTTTAATTAGTAAATGTATTTTTACATTTTAATTATATTCAGAAATCTTAAGTCTAAGGACTAAATTGGATTTTCATTATAGTTTACTCTAAGGGGACATGAAACACTAAATTCATTCTAAGGGGACGATAGTTGTGTTTTTTGGTCCTTTTTTGGCAAATTTCCCAAAAAAAAATAAACTGATAAATTTTTGACAATGGAATTTTTTTATCTCACTGGAATGGAACTTTGGATAATGGAATTTACAACTTAGTAAAATTGTAATGCTAGGAATACATCGTACGAAATGTCCGTAGAAAATGGACGTTTATTTTACGTGTTTTTGTTCATATTTTATTTTTATAAATTTTAAATAAGTAGTTAATTCAATTTAGGAAAAGAGTAATTAAATTAAGAAAAGACATTCAAAGCTTTCATTTAGGGTTATTTAATATTTCAATGGCATTGAGTAGTAAATATTGTGGAAATTTAAGGGATATTCTATATGTGTACTTCTGTTTTAATAGATTACATTCATATTTTAATAAATTGGATACATGATTTGATTTAAAGATAATTTATTGGTTAGCTACATTATAGGAATTAGTTTTGTTTCTGATATATGGAAAGATTACGATTTTAATAATAAATGATTGAACTTTTAATAAATAGAGAATATATTATCAATTTTGTTTGTTTCTTCAAATCTATACACGTTCATGATTTTTAATTAATAAAAATATGATTGTTGCTTTTTATTAAGAGAGATGAATAGAGGGATGTTTTTAATAAATAATTTATTTGAATAATATAAAACATAAATATATATATATATATATATATATATATATATATATATATATATATTTGACATACTAAATTTAACATTTAGTTTGTTTAGTGCAGGTAAAACTGTACATATAAAGAATATAGATAGGAAGAAATAAAGTTATTAGGATGAATAATTTGGAGGATTTCAGTAAATGATTTGAAGTAGTTGGAAAAAAATACTGATATATTTTTGACATTGGAATTTTTTTTATCTCACAGGAATAGAACTTTTGATAATGGAATTTACAACTTAGTAAAATTGTAATGCTGGGGATACATCGTGGGAAATGTCCGTAGACAATGGACGTTTCTTTTATGTGTTTTTGCTCATAATTTATTTTTATGATTTTTAAATAAGTAGTTAATTTAATTTAGGAAAAGAGTAATTAAATTAAGAAAAGACATTCAAAGCTTTCATTTAGGGTTATTTAATATTTCAATGACATTGAGTTGTAAATATTGTAGAAATCTAAGGGGTATTTTATATGTGTAGTTTTGTTCTAATAGATTAGATTAATCTTTTAGTAGATTGGGTACATGATTTGATTTAAAGATAATTTATTGGTTAGCTACATTATAGGAATTAGTTTTGTTTCTGATATATGGAAAGATTACAATTTTAATAATAAATGATTTAACTTTTAATAAATAGGGAATATTATCAATTTTGTTTGTTTCTTCAAATCTATACACGTTCATGATTTCTAATTAATAACAATATGATTGTTGATTTTTATTAAGAGAGATGTATGGAGGGATTTTATTTTAATAAATAAAATATTTGAATAATATAAAACATATAACCATATATATATTTGACATACTAAAGTTCACCTTTAGTTTGGTTAGTGCAGGTAAAACTACATATAAAGAATATAGATAGGAAGAAATATAGTTATTAGGATGAATAATTTGGAGGATTTCAGTAAATGATTTGAAGTAGTTGGCAAAAAAAAATGATATATTTTTGACAATGGAATTTTTTTATCTCACATGAATGGAACTTTGATAATGTAATTTACAACTTAGTAAAATGGTAATGCTGGGGATACATCGTACGAAATGTCCGTAAACAATGACGTTTATTTTATGTGTTTTTCTTCATAATTTATTTTTGTTAGTTTTAAATAAGTAGTTAATTCAATTTAGGAGAAGAGTAATTATATTAATAAAAGACATTCAAAGGTTTCATTTAAGGTTATTTAATATTTCAATAGTATTGAGTTGTAAATATTATGGAAATCTAAGGGGTATTCTATATGTATACTTCTGTTTTAATATATTAGATTCATCTTTTAATAGATTAGATACATGATTTGATTTAAAGATAAGTTATTGGTTAGCTACATTATAGGAATTAGTTTTGTTTCTGGTATATAGAAAGATTATGATTTTAATAATAAATGATTTAACTTTTAATAAATAGGGAATATTACCAATTTTGTTTGTTTCTTCAAATATATACACGTTCATGATTTTTAACTAATAAAAATATGATTGTTCCTTTTTATTAAGAGAGATGTATGGAGGGATGTCTTTTATAAATAAAAAATTTGAATAATATAAAACATATATACATATATATATAGATAGGAAGAAATAAAGTTATTAGGATGAATAATGTGGAGGATTTCAGTAAATGATTTGAAGTAGTTGAAAAAAAAACTGATGTATTTTTGACAATGGAATTTTTTTTATCTCATTGGAATGGAACTTTTGATATTGGAATTTACAACTTAGTAAAATTGTGGGGATACATCGTATGAAATGTCCGTAGACAATGGACGTTTATTTTATGTGTGTTTTTTCATAATTTATTTTTATGAGTTTTAAATAAGTAGTTAATTCAATTTAGGAGAAGAGTAATGAAATTAAGAAAGACATTCAAAGCTTTCATTTAGGGTTATTTAATATTTCAATGGCACTGAGTTGTAAATATTGTGGAAATCTAAGGGGTATTCTATATGTATTCTTCTGTTTTAATAGATTAGATTCATCATTTAATAAGATTAGATACATGATTTGATTTAAAGAAAATTTATTGGTTAGCTACATTATAGAAATTAGTTTTGTTTCTGGTATATGGAAAGATTACGATTTTAATAATAAACTAGATCTTTACCCGCGCAACCGCGCGGGTGTTGTTTTCACTTTTATATACATATGTTATTTATTTTATGACATTAGTGATATATATTTTTTAATATTTAAATGTTTATATAAATGTATTGCTAATTTAATTTAAGATGCTCTTATGTATTGAGAGAATGAAAATGAGAATTAAATATGGTTATTAAGATTTTATTATACAAATACAAAAGATAAGGTAACAATTTTTCTAAAGAATGGTCCATTTTAAAAAAATCACACATGAAGAGAAGTTGTGACTTCTCTTTTAATATAATAGATGATTTAACTTTTAATAAATAGGGAATATTATCAGTTTTGTTTGTTTCTTCAAATCTATACACGTTCATGATTTTTAATTAATAACAAAGGTGATGATTGGTTCGAATGTAACTGTAGAAATTTAACTGTAAAAGTTTAGCTGTAAGTAAATAGGTTGTAGCTGTAAAGTTGTTACTGTAGATTTTTTTGCAGAGACTTCGGTGATGATTGGTTCGACTGTGTCTGTAATAGTTTAGCTGTAATAATTTAGCCGTAAGTAAGTTGGTTGTAGCTGTAAAGGTGTTACTGTAGATTTTTTTGCAGAGATTCTTGATGTAGTTGAATTTGTTGTACCTGTAAATTGTAGGCTGTAGATGTTTCAAATAAAATATGTGAAATATGTTATGTACATATAAAATAATGATTTTTGTATCAACTAAAATAATTTGAGATCATTTTTTTAAATAACTTACCAAAATTTATTGTTATTTAAATCTGACATGAAATATTTGTTATTTAATATATTCCAATAATTGAAAAAATACCCAAAACTATGCTAAATATTTATAGATATTTTTATTATAATTATCTAATTGATTTGATATTTTAGATATTTTTTATTTTACAGTTTCTACTGCATATAAAACAAAGATGTAAGAACTTTACCTAAAGGCTAAAATATATAAGAAAAAAATTTGCTTTAAATTTTTTGCAAAAGAATTTGTTGTAGGCTTTAATTTTCAAAAATAAAGCTACAATATGATTTAGTGATTTAAAACAAAATAAGGTTAAAAATATGGAGATAAAGTCCAACCAATCATCTCCATGTCTTGACTGCTTAAGTCAGATCTAAAGTATCTTGTTTTGTAACCTGTATACTGTCTTGACTGCTTTAGGTCAGATCTAAAGGAAAGCAAATTCTTTTTGAACATATATTCTAGATAATTTTCGGTGCAAAGTAAATGAAAAATGTTTCTAATTGACTGGAAGGTTTGAAAAGAACGACAGAGAGAGAATCAAACATTGATAAGCCTTTATGGAAGACACTGAATATGCTCCATTCATTAAAAATAGAAAAACTGCAGTTGAACAAAAACATCCAAAATATTAAATAAAAAGGATTCCAAGCGATCAAACATTCATGAAGTTCTCAATGTCTTCCAATCCAATAACGTCCCATCTTTTGGTGTGGTAGCGGTTGGATTTGATTTCAACTTTTCTCAACTGATTCTTTTGTAGATTGTAAAGAAACACGTAGAAAAGAGTTGTAACTTGAGGTAAAACGATAATTTGGTCGTGTCCAGTACGAAATATATGTTGAGGTACCAAGATAACGTCACCGTTTCTTGTTGTACCTTGTACCCTCAAACTCATGTTATGGACTATATGCGTTTTGACCATATTCATTTGAGAATAATGCAACACCAGAGTCTTCTTTGACCACATATTCTTCACTTCATCTTCCATCACCCATAGTAACGTCACACCATCTTTTATAAGATCGGAATGGTCTAAAATAGCTATTCTTCCATCGTATTCTATAATCTCAGTATAATAATACCGACACCAAAAGGCATCTTCAGCTTTTTGGAGCACACTGATTTCTTCAGAAATAATATCAAATCTCACAAACACAGGAGAAAGCAAATTAGGTACCAAACCTAGGTAATACATACGCCCATTGATAGTCAATCCTTGCGTGAAAGGTGTATGTGGTGGACATGGGCTTGGTATCTTTCTCCATCCACTTGATACACCTCCTCCTAGTGTGAAGACCCAATGCTCTAGCAGGATCTTTACTATCCTTCGAGATTTGCGTCTTGAAACTATGCAAATCACTTTATATTGATCATGAACAGAGTCGTGTGCTATATGGTATATGATCTTCCTAAACTTGTGATCTTTTGCTATGATGTTGGATTCTTCTATGTCAGGTAGGACCACAAGTTGCCTAGTGGTAGTGTTATATATTTGTGCATTTGGCCCATTTGTAAAGCACATCAAACCGCGGTAAACATGAGAGACGGAGTAGCCTTTCATCGCTGGGATTGTCAAATCTTGGTCAACTACAAAGGAACCATCCAAGCCAGGAGAAGACGATGACGATACTAATATTTTTTCTTTGTCGAAGCCCAACCACATGTATATACGTGGCAATGATGAAAGGTTGGTGAAATACTGGGAACAAATAATGGATAAGCAGAGCTTTGAAACGGATTTGAACCTCATAAGGGATTTAGAAGGGAGTCTTTTGATAATCTCTATCACGAGATCAAAAGGAATCTCCTGCCTCTTGCATATGTCTCTTTGTCTTTTCCTTATTACCTTCGACCTCATCATTCTACTTGTCTGCCGTTGTAAGGTGACTGCTAGGTCAAAAGAAAAAGACATATTTTTATTTTTTAGTATCACACAATATTTGTTAATGGGAATCTGTTTTTGTATCTAATTATATGCATATGATATAATCGAAGTTTATTACTGTTTTAGAAAAAAAAAAGGCATTGATAAACATATATCTAGGAATGTTTTTTGAAATATTGATCGATAACTAGGATTTTAGGTTATTGTTTATTTAATTAATTTGTTCACTAGTGTATATCTTTAGTTTTAAAATATATGACCTATGTTTTGTTAAGTTTAGTTCGTTTTTGGATTTTTTTCTATAATTCTTTCAACTTTAAAATTGTGGTCTTGATTTGTAAATAGTAAACTACTCACATTTGTCAATTACTTGCTTCGCAAGAAGGCCAATAACTTGATTTAAGAAATCTTCTTCTCAAGAAACGAAGCAATAATTTTACAAAATATAATAGTTAAAAAGTTAACACGATAAATGCTTGAGAAATTGCCAGATATAGCATTTTCATGATACCATATTTTATTTATACCTTAACCAACTTTACCATTAAATTTTTAATTGGCAAAGTACTTATATACCCTTAACTAGTTAATCCTAAAACTAAATCTTATCTCAGATTCAATCGATCTTGGCGACGAAGCCTGAAGAGTTTTACGGCTAGATCTGAAGAAGCTACGGCGAGGTCCGACGAAGCTACGGCGAGGTCCGACGAAGCTACGGCGAGATCTGAGAAGCTCTGGCGACGCATTCTTCTTCAAGATCAAAATGGAATTGCGGTAAGTTTTGTTTGATACATCATTACCAAAGCTTTGAGCGTAGTACTTTGTCTACGACGAGAGGCAAGATCACTATTATTGTACGAGGATGAACACTGATTGATCTTATAAAGAATGTAAGCTGTGAGCTTATCTGTTCAGTTTGAAGTTTTTTTCTAGGAATGGTAAAGTAGATCTCTTTTCTGTTCAATTTGAAGTTTTTTTATTTGTGTATTGTGGTAAAGTTTGTGGCTTTTTTTTTTTTTTTTTATAAACGTTCATGAACTTGCTGCAAGTAAGATTTCGTGATAATAGATTTGAGTATGATCTCCACGTATAATAGATTGCGTGTCTTGTCTAGTGAGATCCTCTAACTTTAAGCTTCTTTGTATGTTTCTGATTAGGAAAGCTCGAATTGATCCTCTAACTTTGAGATCTTGATTAGGCTTATGTGATAGTGTTTGTGCTAGAGATCAGCTTTGAATCTCTTCGAATCATAAGAACTAATCAGAGCCAGGTTTATAAGGCTTGAATCAATTGGATTGGAAGCTAAATAATCAATATATATATATATATATAATTACGAATCTTATGTTATTCATTTTGTACTTGGGCTGAGAAGAAGAAGTACATTGGGATGGTTGAAGACTGTTGTTGTGATTACTTGGGCTGAGAAGAAGAAGTACATCCACTGCTTCAAGACCTTGTTAAGACACCTTTTTACCGGTATTTCAAGGTTTTTCTTTCTATTTATCTTCCTTGGTAGAGAGTTTGGATGTATTTTGTTATGATTAAATCTGAATCCATGTTTGTAGGTTAAACTATGGTGTGATTGCCATTTTGGCCTGATGATGGTATGTGCCGGTTAAGAGACTGTAGTGTTT